CATGAAACCAAAGAAAAATCCAATACATAATCAATAGTTTTGTCCTGAAATGCATACGTAGTTTAGTGACATTCTGTAGAATGTTACGATATGTTTTCACCAAGACTTCTGTTACTCAAAAATTCCCTGCCATTCACCCCATTTTCTTTTCCTTAATTAATAAGCAGTAGGTTAAGTGTGTGCCCAAAAATGTTTTTCTGATGAGTAACCAAGATTAGTATTCACCTGTTTAGTTGATTTCGATTTATTTTAAGTAGAGGCTGCATGCCTGAACTTAGCCTTGTTTGGTAAGGTTTCAAAATAAATTGAATTCAAAAGGTATTTCCATAGATTTTAAAATAATTTTATTTTGCCCTGTAACCGCATCTGTCAAGGTCCTCAAAGACCTCCTGTCAAATACTTAATTCCAAAAACCACAAGCCCTCCCCGAGGTAATTAAGTAGTTTTAATGAAGGAAACTAAATGGAATTTCAGTTATTGTAAATGTTCATAGTCGGGTCACGTGTTGCTGAAAATTGAATATCTACAACATTGTTGTTATAATTATGCAAAGGCCAGGATATGTCTTAGCAACAAGCTGAAAATGTTGAGTTTGGAAATCACATGGTAATTACTGTTTTACACACAGTGGGCTTAACTACTGTGGGCCATTATGGGGTGCACAAAAGTCATTCACAGAATCATTATTGCACCCTCTGAGATAACGGCACAAAAGAACTCCACATGGAAAATTACATTTGAGACCTCTCATCTGCTATTTCATTACCTTGCTCTGTCTGATGCTTGAAATGGGTTCTCTTAATTTAAGGAGCTGGATTCCAGCTTGGTGAGTGGTTTATGTAATCTCCCGGTAAGTGTAATTTCCCATAATGCCAGGTCACAGCTACTACTCTGCTTAGCTACCACATACACGTATTGCATCGCAGGCCATCTCCACCACATCTCACAAATAAGACCATTTCTATGGTGAACACCCTGCAAAGACAGAAGTATGCAATTATCTGTAAGCCACTAGTGTTTCTATGGGTGACATTCATACCTTCTTTTGATGGAAATAATTAGTCCGGGGATTTTCAGGCACTAAGAGACCGTCTTCATTGACGACACAGCCATGTTATCCACATGTTGCACTCAGCACAAGCATCCGATCCATGTCACACAGATCTATTGAGGATGGGAATAACCTTTGTCCCGTATTATTTCAGTGTAGGTATGATGAAAAGTTACTTGATTTGTAATTGGAAAATGTTATCATTGTTCATATAAATTATTTTAGTTTGTACATTCTCCAAAAATCTGTTATTGCAGCTGCCAAGCTAAACATGAATTCAGTTGTTTTCACCATTTTTTTTCTTTAAATACGAGCTTGCTGATGTATTTTTTCTATATACATTCCTTTAAATTAGTGTAGGTGGAAGGGCATAGCCAGCCGGACAGTAGATTAAAGGCCGTGTGGGAAACACAACTGGCTGGTTTTTGGACAACATCTAATGTTTTGGAACCTCTTGTAGATACAAATTGTGTTACCAATTTTTTTAATGAAACTACCAATTTATTTTGAAGCTTGAATCCCCTGGGGTTTAAGGGATTGCAGTGATACCATATCAGGTGTACTTGAACAAAGGCATCCACCACATGAGAGATTAATAATATAAATTGGAAAATGACATGACAACGTTGCCTTGAATAGAGTGAATAGAGGGGAAAGTTGAATGTCAGTGTATCCAGTGTTTGCTGTCTTGTTTTCGCTTGTTGACTTGTTTCATTTGACCTCAATTAAAGGTGGGGTAGGTACGTTTGAGAAACCGGCTCGAAATACACTTTTTGTTATATTCCATGGAATGCTCTTAACATCCCGAAAGCAATGAATGTCTTAAGTGCTTTGACAAAAAATCCATAAATAATGTCATCTGTGGAAGCCGTAGTACTGTAAAGAGCATGACCAATCATTTTAGCCGGCCCGACTAAAATAACTGGATGGGCTACCTGCCTGTCAGCCTTCCATCAGTGCACAAACTTATCTCGTGCCCTCATTGGTCATGTGCGAGTTTGTGTGTGTTGGAGGAGGGGCTCTGTAAGGAAGTGGCAGATTTGTTCCGGTTGTGTATTTTCAAATTCTAACGCACTCAAGCTGGTTTCTCCAAAATGACCTACCCCACCTTTAATAATGATGATTGATTGTTTTTGGAATTTTTGTAGACGAGTTGTATTAATGTCAATGTGTTGCAGAGTGATTTGAGACATGCTGAGTGAAGTGATACAGTGATTTAAAGATTTTGAACCTTTTCATCCCCTCTCAAGATGCTTGCTAAAACAGATTTCTTTGGTTCTGGCAAAATTATTATATTGAGGCATCGCATAGCTTTAATAGATATATTCTTTATTGACAGGAAAGTATATGGTCGATTTTAATTGTTTGTCAACATATAAAAGCAGACTTACAGTTCAACTACAACATTTGTTTGTTCTTGGGTTGTTTTGGTAATAGTGTGTGCACAAGTTTTGTGCCAAAGAATATTTAAGTAGACTAGACATTAAAAAGCCTAATGGAAACATACTGGCAGAAACTCTTGGCATTTGAAAAAGTACTTTAGCTTGTACAAATACCAATGTGATTCAATGTTTGGTCTCAATGGGGAAGAGAAACAAATATTTTTCTCAGAACCCCATCGTGCTGTGAATGTAGTCTGGAAGTGATTACGGTTACAGTTCATCATTTGATTGTGATGAGAGGAGCATATCCCAGCCTTTTAGTGGTTGAAATTTCTTCCCCCTCCCTCATCAGTTTGTGAGTTGGTTCTGCTGTGTCAGCAGTCGGCACACAAAAACGGAATTCAGTAAAAGCTCTCTCCGCTCTCTGAGTTTTTTTTCTTTTCCCCAACAGCTTGCTCCCATCCCCCTTTCCCCCTCATGAACTGACACGCTGGAAGAAACATATGCTACTATTCCCACTTCCTGACAGCTTGTGCTGCTTGAATAGGATCTTTCTCAGGGAGGAAGCAGTTGTCTGGAAAGAGGCGAGCGATAAAGTAAAGAGAAAACATCAGTGAGGTTTCAGTAAAGGAACTAAAACATAAAAGCATATTAGGTTGTGAATTAAAGCGGTTGACACAAGATTGTAAGCACAATCTGTTTCTATGTTTGTCTTGAACTAGTTTGCAGTCGCCATGCTACTGAATATAAGACTGCCTTTGATTTGCATGTAAGCTAAAATGAGAACTCAGCACGTCACACAGTGTCACTGGTTCTGTTCAGCCACTACTCTCATGCACTCAGAGATGTTTAAAAGTGTTCACAGCCTAATATACAATCACGTAGTCATTGTTTTTATTTGATGATTCAGGTGAAGCATGAAAAACTGCAGGAGCAGTCACACTATAGACAGCTGCATTGGACAATTACAAAAACACAGCTTGAATGAGTTTAGTATGTGCCAGGTGATGTCTTATCCACCTGTTGCTCCGCCTCCTCCCTCTGGGATCTGGCCAGACAACTTGCCTCTTAGATGATGTGCCTTCATTGTGTTCTTTCATGTTTTTGTATTGAGTTGCTGTGTCTTGGATCAAACCTTTCAAACATGCAGTGATTGTGCATGATTTATGTACCCATATTTAAGACAATTCTGTCTTACATTCTCAGAGAAAACATTTAAAATTGTATAATTTTATAGTATGATCAAAGCACTTATTCCTTCATAACGTCACATTTATAGTTATGCATATGGCAAGACTCTGTCATGAATATGTTGTTATTGTCCATGCCGACTTAAATGTATTACCATGTCCATCTGTTTTCATACCAAGTAACTATAAACACTACAGTGTGCATGACTGCCGTCTTTTTCACCCGACTTTTAATCAGTACAACTCTGCCATACAAGTTGTAAGTATAAACTCAACCTTTACACAATAAATGAGCTATGTTCTCACTCAACACGGAACATTTGAATCCATTCTGATGTTTCTTTCTTCTGTAATGTAACCGCAGCAATAAACTCAGTCCTGGGTCTGCTAAGGCCAACATGTGCAGAATGCTCTCCATTCATGAAGGCCACACAGTTGTACTGACCGCAACACTGCTGAATCTCATTTTACCACACACATGCCTCTCTAGTGCCCAGCATTCATGAATCTGTAGTGAGTAATTCCACATAAAATATGGGATAGTCTGCCGTTTTATGTTCCTGGACACTGGGTACTGTTACAGTACTGCAGATGCTGTCACTCAGGAGCATGCTGGTCTTGTCAGTAGCTGCTGGTGAGAGGAGTCTCTCTCCAGCTGTCTGAGCAGCTTGGTAAGATGCACAATGGGGGGCGGGATCTTGGATTGATCCACAGTCTGAACGGCAGTTTTTTGTTTTTTTTGGGATGCCTGCAGCACCCAGCCTTTAAAAAAAGATAAAAAATCCTATAGCCTCTGCATGTCATGAGTCTCTGACTTCAATATGTCGTGTGGTATGACTGTAGCTGGATAGTGACGTTAGCCAAAATGCTGTTTTTCCTGGTTTTACTACTTTATTCTTGCTAAATTTTTATAACAGACACAGTTGGGGGAATGTTGAACGCTGGCCTCTAATTTCCCCATCGAGATCCTATATAATTAATTTATTATTATTCATAAGAATAGGGTGATAGTTCGGATGGGGCACTCCATCACTTTAGAAATGATAGAGTTCTTCAGGCATGGGATGCACTTCTCATAGTCTGGTTTGTAAGATCTAAACATGTTTTCAAATGTAACTATTTTACTGAGTCCTGTCATTCAAAAAGAACCAAAGCCACCAGCCCATGAATGAAAAGGTTCAATGGTTCAAACCATTGTAAATAATGTCAACTACCTTCTTGGCAATGTTCAAGATTGTTTGGCTGCTTCTGCTCCACATTGTGCTCTCATCTAACAGTGTGTACTGTGTCACTCTTTTTCTCATTTGGAAGCAGATGTCAACTGTTGTGTTGTAGAGACTGACCGCTTGGTTGTGTTTGTTTATTTCTGAATTCCAGGTCTCTCCCTAGTTTGCTCCAGGCTTTAGCTTGGAGAGCCCAACCGCCACCATTGATCCCAGCAGCTGGAGCGGCAGCGAGAGCCCTGCCGAGGACATGGAGAGGATGAGCGACTCTGCAGACAAGCCCATGGACAATGAAGCCGAGGGGGTGTGGAGCCCCGATATCGAACAGAGCTTCCATGAGGCCCTGGCTATCTATCCTCCGTGTGGACGAAGGAAGATCATCCTGTCTGATGAGGGAAAGATGTATGGTGAGTAGTACAGAATCATTTCAGAGTGTTACTAGTATAGATGCATGTTTTTCAACTAGGTGAATATTGTTGGAGCTAATGGGAATAGTTTGACACTTTCGGGGATGAGTAAGATGAGAAGATCGATTCCACTCATGTCGTGGCCAGCAGCTAATTATCTTAGCTAAGCATAAAGACTGGAAGCACGGGAAAACAACTAGAACTAGAGAATGCAATTCCTGAAGAAATTGCTAGTGGAAATGCTTTATGCTGAAAAGCTGACGCTAAACTGCTATGCTGAAATTGAATGTGTAAGAAGAAAGTGAAGAATTTAGATTGAAATGATACATGAACACTGGGGACTTTAATGTCTGATAAGAGAAGAAAAGAAAGTAAAAAGGCTTGGAAAAGCAGCAGAATATTTGAACTGCAAACTTTTGAACTAACTTGATGGCGAATGATCTGTCGCCATGCCAACGGCATTTGATGACATCCCATAATACGCTTAGATGCGTTGATGGCTGTATCGTTACCAAACCTGTGAAGTTTTGGGCCGTTTGGAGCATTGAAGTTAACAGTGAAGTTATGAGTAAACCGTGTTTCATGGCGAGCATTGTGTTGCCATGGCAACGACATTTGAAGAAATCTCAAAACTCTCCCGTAGATGTCTTCACGGCTGGACTCAGTGCATGACATTAAGGATTTTGGGAGATGGCCCTGGGGCCATCTAAGCTAATTTACAGATGGCCCTGAACCCAATAGAGATTGCCCTGAAAAATGCGCGCGGACGAAATGGCACGAAGGGTTTGGGGGGCCTCTGTCCCCCTTGAAAATGTAGATTTTTGCAGGTCTTAGATGCTGTCTGGTGCATTCTCTAGACTGAATTATAAGATGAACCACCACAATATTATATTGTACAATTTCAATTTTATTCTTCATTTCACTTGTTTGTTTGTTCTTGTTTGTGTTTGCTCGCTTGCCCTGCATAGCTATAAGAAACACTTAAGTTGTTGGTCAAGACACTTTCCATCTGATGAAGGCAAATGCCTTCCCAGATGTACACAAGTAGAAAACATTACATTCAGTTATAACTGCCAAAACAAACATTATTTACACTAGTATGGCCCCTGTTAAAAATGTTTGTAATGTTATCTACTGTAAGTTGGTCGAACGAATGCCTCCTCATCCGGAAGCTGACCGAGCAGACCCAAGCAGCAGTCGAGAGGAGCCGAGCGCATCCGTGAAGCACACAAAATGGCGACGTCAGAGTTCCCGTTAGCTGGCAAATCTAAATCTCTTCGGTCAAAATAATTTCCCTTTTAGCGTAATACCGCTTCACTTGCGCCACTTATGTGACAGACAAGAAGAGTATGTGACAGACAAGAAGAGTATGTGACAGACAAGAATAGTCAATTCTAATGTCTAACACTTAATGTGGAGAAAGAGATGTCCTGTATGGGTTGATTGTGCGTTGATCTGTTGGTAATGCCTCTGGGTTCCGGTGGGCATGTAAACAAATGCATAATGCTGTGCTATACTTTGTGGCCTCACCCAGTTGCATAGCGACACTTATTGTTTAGGTGTCTTTTAATAAGCAGGTAGTCATATCATTAGCTAGAACTAGCTGGATCTGATCGATATGGACATAAACGCGAGTGAAGTCTAATCTGACGGGAGAGAGAGATCAGCTGCTGCTGACGAGTGGACACGCACCTCTGCATGATCACATGCAGCGGTGAGCGGACAAAACACACACTTCAGGTTAGAATATCACACGTAGCTATTTTAATTACCTCTCAAACTACCGTAACTAGCTATAGATATGTTTAGTTTCACTGTCGGGTCACTCATTACTGGATCCGCGAGCTGCATGATACTGGCATAATAGATTGCCCGATCGGGCAACTAGCAGGTGAGGCTTCATTGCCCGATCGGGCAACTAGCAGGTGAGGCTTCATTGCCCGATCGGGCAACTAGCAGGTGAGGCTTCATTGCCCGATCGGGCAACTAGCAGGTGAGGCTTCATTGCCCGATCGGGCAACTAGCAGGTGAGGCTTCATTGCCCGATCGGGCAACTAGCAGGTGAGGCTTCATTGCCCGATCGGGCAACTAGCAGGTGAGGCTTCATTGCCCGATCGGGCAACTAGCAGGTGAGGCTTCATTGCCCGATCGGGCAACTAGCAGGTGAGGCTTCATTGCCCGATCGGGCAACTAGCAGGTGAGGCTTCATTGCCCGATCGGGCAACTAGCAGGTGAGGCTTCATTGCCCGATCGGGCAACCAGCAGGTGGGCTTCATTGCCCGAGCTAAACACTAGATGGCCCTGGGCCATCGGCAGTCCTTAATGTCGAGCCCTGGCTGGACTGTTAGCACACGTGAAGTTTGAGCACTTTTTGAACATTTTCATAGGAGTTATAGCGACATCGTCTTTCATGGCGAGGGATGGAAACGGCATATGATGAAACCCCATAATTGACGTAGAGCTGTTGAGGGCTGGACCATTATCTGAAGTGTGGTGCTGTTTTTAACCTTTTCATAGGCCAGGGGTGCCCAACCTTTTTTGAACCGAGAGCTACTTTTAAAGTTGCCAGTCTGCCAAGATCTACCAGTCCAAATAGAGAGGCGTAGCCATTACTGACAGCCTACTACCAGTTAAATACACACTTCTACTTGTATAAAACTGACCTTCGTACGATTAATACTTCATAAAATACTGCAGATCCTTTATCTTACCTCTTTCTAATCTACACGCATACAAGTATTTAACTGAAGTTACACAATAGTGTTGTTGATACAGAGTTGGAGTTTATTCACACGTCACACTACAGTGGGTTGTTTTCAAGAAACATTGAACACTGCTGCCACATATGACACAAAAAGAAAAGACTCTGAACCCTTTCTTTGCCATTTTATAAAAATAGTGTTGCTACAAAAGTATAAATTAGGCTTACTAATAAGACAACTCGGATCTGAAGCTACACAGGAATCTGCTGCAACAGTGCAATAAAAAAGACAAAATTAATAGAATCAAACCCTTTTTTTGTTGCATTTTAGTAGATTATAAAAAGAAATGCCTTTTTTAAAATAGGATACAAGCAACACTAGTTTCTTAACCTGAATTGATAATAGACTATAATCAATTTAAGTTTGCATTCTTATACCATTTTGTACAATAATTATAATGAATAAGTTCAAACAAACTCAAACTTATAGCTGATTAATAACGGTATCTAACTTGAGTTTTTATCATATCAAAAACCTGTTGAAATGCTACTGTTATTTTTATTACGCATCGGCAGCCTCCAGGAATGCTTCTTTCACAACTTCGCCGTCTTTGAAAGACTTCATGTGTTTCGCAAGAACGTGACTGACACGATAAGATGCTATGGTAGCAGCCTTGCTCTTGTTGTTGGGCCTGGTGAAAATGGACTGCTGTGCATTTAGCTGTCCTTTCAGGCCCCTCCCCTTTTGGAGCGTAGGGCAGAATTAGGAGGGAATTCCGTCTCGTAGCGTTTGTGCACTGTTTTGAAATGCCGCTCCTAAATTACCCTTCTTCGATAAAGCCACGCTCGCATTGCAGATGAGACAGATGGACTTTGAATTGGAATAGATACAAAAATAATCATCCTCCCACTCCGAGTGAAAATGATATATGTTTTGCTTCTGCCATAATTGCGGTCTTGTGTGTGTGCGGACTGTCACTCCTGTTGACACGGACAACGTTAGCGAACTAGTGCACTGCCCACTGCTCACCAGCCACGCCCCGACACATGGGGTCACGCCGGCCAATCACAAAGCTTTGAGGTGTTCAAGTGCATTATTCTGGCACAGGAAGATTATGTTACAGGACATTAACGATAAAACAGAATATTGTTGTTCTATTTTTAGACACATCTCGCGATCGACTGGTTGGGCACCCCTGTCATAGGCGTTACGACAACATCGTGTTTTATGGCGAGGGATGCGTTTCCATGGAAACGGCATATGGTGAGATGTCAGATTTGACGTAGAGCTGTTGAGGCCTGGAGAGGTGATATAAAGGTGAAGAATGTGGGACGACCGGACCGTGTCCAATGGAGCTACAGCGACATCGTGTTTTATGGCGAGGGATACGTTTCCATGGCAACAGCCTACGGTGATATCTCCGATTTTGCGTAAAGCTGTTGAGGCGTGGACCGGTGATATACAAGCGAAGTTTGGGGGACCATCGGACCGTGTCCATTGGAGTTACAGCAACATCGTGTTTTATGGCGAGGGATGCGTTTCCATGGAAACGGCATATGATGACACCTCATAATTGACATAGAGCTGTTGAGAGCAGGACCATTAACCATTATCTGAAGTCTGCAGCTCTGAGCATGTCAGTTGGAGTTATGACATCATCGTGTTCCATGACACAGGTGTTTATATTTGAGCTAATGATGTGTCCAGAGATCAGAGGTTTCCATGGTGATGTGCAGTAATCAGTGAGAGGAGAGCATTTTCATTGTTCTGAAAGAGAGATAAACCTCTTACATGTGAACGTTTTGTTGAAGAACCGTAACAGATATCGGTGAAATTTCAAAGCGTGAAGCATGTCAAGGAACTTGAGCATCTGAAGTGTACTTTTTGTGTACTTTCTGGTTAATAATGTGGCCTTTTTGGCAGATTAACTAAAGGTGTGCGGCTGCTGTGGTGGGGAAAGATGAGGCTGAACTTACAATGGGGTTTAATGGAGACATGTTGAACGTGTTTGTCCCTTCATGCCCTCAAGAGGCATTTTGTTTAATTATTTTGCTTAATTTATTTTTATTTTTCAAGCTACGAGATGTTTTCCTACGTTTCTCATGAATAATTATGTCTCAGGAATGTAGGGTTTGGGAATTATGGCAGGTTTAAAAGAAAATATGAAGGCAAAATTAAATCTGTCCTCCACTCTAGCTGTGACATCACGCACTCTAAAATCTGAAGAAGGCCTCTTTACCAAGGTCTGAACAATGTTTAATATCTCTAAAAGTACCACGAATTTAAAAGATGTGTTAC